TCCCTGCTGAGCAGAGAGCCATGCGGGGCTCACTCCCAGGACCCTGGGATCACGACCTAAGCCGAATCGAAGGCAGAGGCTTTAACCCACTGAACCACCTAGGCGCCCCAGGAATACTGTCATTTTAAAGGCAATTAAAAATGTATCACCTCATGATCCTGGATGATGCAATGTCTGTCTTTTCTTAAAATTACTTACCCAAAGATATATATTTTTACTTATTTAAAAGATAATTCTATATGCCCAAAAGGAATATATAACATGCATACAGTATTGCATGTAATTGATATTAAATAATGAATTTTTTAGTTATTCGTTGTGTGTTTTCCTCAATTTTACAAATGAGTTTTTAAAATTTTGCTTACTTTATTTTTTTAAAGATTTTATTTATTTGAAACACAGAGAAAGCACAAGCAGGGGGAACGGCAGGGAAAGGGAGAGGGAGAAGCAGACTCTGCTGAGCAGGGAGCCTGACGCGGGGCTTGATCCCAGGGGCCAGGGGCCAGGGTCCTGGGATTATGACTTGAGCCGAAGGCAGATGCTTAATCAACTGAGCCACCCAGGTGCACCCAAATTTTGCTGCTTTTATGATGGGAGAATCAAACATAATTTTGTAAAAATTAAGTGCTGTGCTTTCTGCAAGCTTAAAATTGAACGGTCTTTTCAGTGTGAAACAAAGGACTTAATATGTAAAACTTTTTTTTTTTTTTTAAGATTTTATTTATTTGAGAGAGAACATGCACATGAGCAGATCTGGAGGGCAGAGGGAGAGGGAGTAGGAGAAGGAGGAAATAGACTCCTTGCATTGAGTACTGAGCCCTTCACTGGGCTAAGTCGCAGGAGCCATGAGATCATGACCTGAGCCAAAACCAAGAGTCAGACTCAACTAACCAAGCCACCCAGACGCTCCCAGACAAAAATGTATTTTGAATAGTCCATAAATAAATTATCTGTAGAATATGCCTTTTTTTTTTTTTTTGGCAGCTGATCTCTAAGTATTGGTTTATTGTGATAATTTATTTTATTTGCTACTTGGTTCTATATGGTATGCTCTTCATGTTACTGAATTTTTCCCATTCTGCACTGAAGAAACTTAATACTTTTTGGTGTCAAAACCTTATCAAAAGTGAAACTGCTTATACAAATAAAGCTGTAGCTTATAAACTTTATTATCTTTGGCTTTAATACTTAAGTTTTTCTCTAAGTGGAGTAGACTTTGCAACTGAGATTCTGCTAATACTATTTATCAACAAATATATTCCAGCTGATCCAAAGAACAAATTTAGATATTTGAAGACTTACATTAAAGTATGATTAGAGGGGCACCTTGGTGGCTACGTTAAGCATCTGCCTTCAGCTCAGTTTGCCTTTGGCTCAGGTCATGATCTCAGGATCCTGGGATTGAGCCCCACATAGGACCTCCACTCAGTCAGTGGTGAGTTTGCTTCTCCCTCTCCCTCTGTGATCTCTCTTGCTTTCTCTCTCTTAAATAAATAAGTAAAATCTAAAAAAAATAAAAAATAAAAAAATTATATATATATGATTATAAACTATCAAAATAATAATCCATTAGCTTCATGGAAACAATAATGGAAACCTGTTTTCTGGGGGGAAAGAAATAGGAAATCAGAAATGAATTTTCTTTGATGAAGGGAATCAGCTTATAATTGAAGGAAAAATAGGAAGAAAATTATTTGCTTGTTTAGAGCCCGAGTCGTAAATTCTGTGTGCTAATTAGTAAACAGAATTTATGACCTAGGTAAATGAATCATAATATTTAAGTTATATATAATATATATAATATATAAGTTATTATATTAGTTTGGTAGATCTGCCACATGATACTACCAAAGACTGGGTGGATCAAACAACAGGAATTAATTTTCTCACATGCCTGAAGTCTAGAAGTCCAGGATCAACCTGGAACCTTATTGGCAGGACTGGTTTCTTCTGAAACTCCTCTCCTTGGCTTATAGATGGCCTGCTTCTCCCTATTTCCTCATGTGGTCTTTCCACTGTATATGTTTATACCTAGTGTCTCAGGGTTTAAATTTCCTCTTTTTATAAGGATACTAGTCAGATTAGATTGGGACCCACCATAAAGGTCCTTTTTAATTTAATCACCTCTGGAAAGACTTTCTAAATACAGTCATATTCTCAGGTATTAGGACTTAGGGCTTCAGTATGTGAATTTTGAGGGGATAAGTTTCAGCTCATAATTAACATACATACTCTACTGCACTTTGTACATATACCTCCCCCTAAGGTTTTGTTTTTTTTTTAAGATTTGATAAAATTAAATAAAAATACAAGTTATATTTACTTTCCAATCCCATTGGATTCTATGATAGAGTTTGTACACACCACTTGGGAGGCCTAAAATAATAAAATGAGAGCCTCAGCTAATAAGCTATTTTCCTGAAATGATAGTTCAAGATTGCCTGTAAACTAAGCTTTGTTCTCTCGCTTTGATGGTGGATTTCTCTGTTGTGTTTTTCTGCCATTCATTTTAAGGAGCGAATGGTCTCTTGATGGTGGATTGTTTTACTGTAAAGCCTGTCTTTATCTTTTTGGCACATAAACCTCCACATGAATATGAATGTTTTATGTTTTATGTAAATATGAAAATTCATAAAATGCATAGAAGTCTATAAAGTATTCTTATCTTGAAACACTTCTTATATCAAATGACTTCACAATAAAATTGCTTAGGTTTATTAAAAATTCTTTTCCTGCCCAGTTTAAGTACATATTAAGCTGCTTTATTCTTTAATGTAATAGTAATAATAATAATAAAATACAATTTCTGGTGTTGGTGTCAGCTCAATTTATATCTGCCAGGGTTTAAAACAAGTCTGGTAACAGTTTCTATTTTTAAAATAAAGTGTGGACCTTTGTTTATTCTTTAGTAGGTATTTGGTAGGGGAAGTCCACTAACATTCTCATGATACATTAATATTGATTCTAGATAGATTAATGAGTTAAGTATTAAAGATCAAACTGTAAAGAAAAAAAAAAAGGGAGAAAGAAACAAATAATTGCTTGCCTCTGTGAGAAGTAATTTCCAAGCCAAAAAGCAATGGAATCAATTACAAAATAAAAAAATTTACTGCATAAAATTTTAAGATATTTTTACATTTAAAGAGTTGTAAGAAAGAAATGGGAAGGTACTTGAAAATGTTATATGGTTAACATCTCTAATATAAATAAATATATAATTTATATATTTTATCTCTAATATAAATAAAAATAGCACTAAGACATCTATAGATAAGTGGACATGAGGTGGTAATTTACAAAAGAAACATAAATAGTATGATTTGAAACCTATTCAAACTAAGAATATAATAAAAATTGTAAGATTATCAGACATGGAAAGAATGATGAGCAAATATGTTTATCAATAGTAAGAAGGTAAACTAGTATAGTAACCTCCATACCTTAGAATACTATGCAACTTTTAGAAAGTTATATATGAAGAATTTTTAATATAAGAAAATGCTTATAATAGCAGGATACATTATATATACTGTTTGATCAAACTTGAAAATGCGTAAAACTAGAGGAATACATCAAGATGTCAATATGATCTCTAGTAGCATTATGTTCAATTTTCATTCTCATAGGCTTTTGTTTTTCCATTTTCATCAGTATGCATTAGCTTATTTAAAATTGGAAAATAGAAACATTGGGAAATAGAAAATTCAAAAATTATATAATAGAACCAATATGACCTCTTTCCAAGCATTACATATCCCCTTTCCATAATAGAAATACAGTGTATATGATTTCTACTATCTCCTTAAAAGTCTTTTAAATGTCTACTTTGCAAATATACTACCATATTAATTCAATAAATGCAACATTCTGAAATGAACATAGAAAAAAATATAATCTTTTATGTATAGAGGCTGAAAGGTAGACTAGTGACTTTTCTCTAAACAACCAACCAACCGCATGCATTTAATAATTTCACTCCTTAATACTTTATTTTCTTTTGCACCAAATCTAAATTTATTTTTAGATTACTGGGGAAGTTGTGTAAGTAAATGTATTAAGCTTCAAATCACATTATTGATGATTTTTTCCCTTTCTACATGGTTCGAAGATTTGTACCTATTGTATATGCCTATACTGATATTTTGAGCATCAAAGGTCTCAAAATGATGATTTTCACTAAATATCACGGACCATAAGAAGCACTGATTTCTTGATGAATTGCTAATTGCTGTTACAAGGGAGGAATTAAAAAGTAACACTAAAAGAGCAAATAAAGTGCTGTTCCTATTAGAATGGGTGTAATACTTTCCTCAGCACATGTAACACTGCCCTTAGTAAAGATGGGTGGGAGGCTACAGTGTAGGGTCATTTTGGTCTTCAGGCATTTGGTATCAGACAGAACGTAATGCTCATAATCTTGAAGATCATGATAGTAAAAATAATACACGGCAGCAGCTGACGTTTAGGCGTTTACTGTTTCCTACCCTTTGTGCTAAGTGCTTTACTGTATTTCAATTAAACATTTAACCCTCTCCGTTAAAAGAGAGATCATCCCCATTGTCCATCTCTAGGAAATACATGCCTTATTTCTTCCTATCATCCCTATTACCCTTAGTTCTGAATATCTGAGCTAAAAGGGGGGGGTTATCAAATTTGATGGATTAATTCAGTAACTAGCTTAGCCTCTGAGAACATTTTACAACAATGGTCATTATACAAAACCTAATACAAATTAACATTTTTTTTTTTACTGAGTCACAAGCACACAGCACCGGCTGTTCGGTGAAACGCTTCCCTTGAAGCTTCCAGCCACTCAAGGCTCCGCCCAAGGGTCAAGCTACGCCCTCGGTAGTAAGCACCGCCCCCACCAGCCGCCAGCGGAAGTAACTTTGCGCGCTCGTGCCTCTCGCGGGACCTACACCCCTTTGGCGAGATTTCGACTAGGAGGGCAAAGCAGTATCTCGCGGGGAGTTGAACCGGAAAAGCGAGGGATAGAAGTGCAAGAGGGTGAACCTCGCATGTGAGGCCGTGCTTTTGATTTCCTGGAGGTTTTAGGTGCTGGGTCGTGTAGATCTCTTGTCTGGCATCTCGCGGCGGGATAATGTTGACCCGGGTGAGGGCTGGTACTCGACTGGGAGCCTCTGATTCAATCACTTTGCGGGACTAGGTGGCGAGGGAGGGGGTCGGGATGGGGGAACTTCGCGAGCTGTTGGCGTCTCTGGCTTCACAGTTCAAGGCTGCAATGCTGAACACTCGAACGCTTTCTCTTGAGCGTTCTCTGCTGTTTTCTCCCAAGACTCACCTGTGCAGTCCAGCCTGCAGAGCTGAATGCAAGCTCCTCAGGATATGAGACTCTCACTGCTTTATCCAGGGACCCTAGAACAGTATTACGTGGTAATACCTCGCTGAACTTTGGATGAGTAAATGAAATAGAATTGCAAGGAAGTTTACACAGGAAGCGACCGACTTTTTTTTTTTCTTTTTCCGAAGTAACCTTTTAATTTTAGAATAATTTTACATTTACAAGAAAGTTGCAAAGATAATACTAATCTCCATAGGCTTTTCACTCAGTTTCCCCAAATGTTAGTACCTAGAGTGGCTTAATTCAGTTTCTTTGACGCAGCTTCTGTTAAGGCCACTAATTTTTTTTTTCTTTTAACGCCACAAAGCCTTTAATCTTTGCTTTACATATGAGCAATAATTATTTGAAGAAACCCTCTTTTTTCATAAATAGAGTGTTGTTATATTTGAGGTAATGCTCCCTTGAAAGAACTAATAATGATCATAAAACATGTTCTTAAGAAAAAAAACTGCTAGTGTGAAGTTTAATAAATTTGTAATATCAGATTGTGTCAGCAACATTTTCTTATCATCATAGCTGAAAGCAAAATCAGAGGGGAAGCTTGCAAAACAGATTTGCAGAGTTGTATTGGATCATTTTGAGAAACAGTATTCCAAAGAACTTGGAGATGCCTGGAATACAGTAAGGTTAGTATAATTCATCTCTTGATGCTTTATGATAGAACAGGAAATAAAACCTTTTTGGGGGAGGGGTGCTTGAGGATAAAAAAAGGAATCTAAATCTGGGTGCCCTTTTCCTACAGAGACTAAAGAGAAGAACTGAAGAAATAGATGGAATCCTAGGAATGAAAAGGGGAGAAAGAAAACTTTGTAGTAATAGTAAGGAAAAAAATGTTAGAGCCTTGCCTCGAGCAATTGTTTTAATCTTTGAAACAGGAATGCCCACTAGTTTGACAAAATTAATTATACTGTAACAGAAAAACCTTAGAACTTTTGAGGGTATTTGACTAGTTTCTGAAAATTCAGAAGATAATTAGTCTTTAAAGCTGGCACAGCTCTGTCTTAGCTAGAGTAATTTTATTTGGTTATATTTCTTCCCTGTGTTTTCGGCAGGCTATGTTTTGAACACATGTACGTGCGCACGCACACACACACACACACACACAAACAAATTATTTAAGTATTTTTTTTTTAAGTGTATTTTTGAAAACATCTTTCATGCGTAGAAGTAAGTGAGGTAAGTTTGATTTCTATGCTTAGTGACTTTTGCTTTTGGTCAGAATGTTATTACATGGGTTCTTTACATTGAGGTGTTTTTTTTTTTTTTTTCATTTTCTATTTAAATTCTAATTAGTTAACATATAGTGTCATATTGGTTTCAGGAGTAGAATTTAGTGGTTCATCACCTGCATGTAACAACCAGTACTCGGCACAAGTGCCCTTTCTAATGCCCATCACCCATTTAGCTTCTCCCCCATTCACCTCCTTTCCAGCAACCTCAGTCTGTTCTCTATAGTTAAGAGTCTTATGGTTTGCTTTCCTCTCTTTTTTTTTTCCCCCTTCCCTGTGTCATCTGTTTTGTTTCTTAAATTCCACATACAAGTGAAATTATATGGTATTTATCTTTCTCTGGCTGACTTACTTTGCTTAGCGTAATACATTCTAGTTCCATCATTGCAAATGGTAAGATTTCATTCTTTTTTGATGACTGAGTGATATTATGTATGTATATAAGTACACACACACACACACACACACGTACACACACACACACACACACACACACACACCCCACATCTTCTTTATTCATCAGTCGGTGGACAGTTGGACTCTTTCCATAGTTTGGCTGTTGTTGATAATGCTGTTATAAACATCAGAGTGCACGTGCCCCTTCAGATCCGTATGTTTGTATCCTTTGGTTAAATTCCTGAAGTAGTGCAATTGCTGGATCATAGGGTAATTCTATTTTTAACTTTCTGAGGAACCTCCATGCTGTTTCCCAGAGTGGCTGTCCCAGTTTGTGTTCCCACCAACACTGCAAGACGGTTCCCCTTTCTCTGCATCCACACCAATATCTCGTTTCCTGAGTTGTTGATTTTAGTCTTTCTGACAGGTGTGAGGTGGTAGCTCATTATGGTTTTGATCTGTGTTTCTCTGATGCTGAATGATGTTGAGCATCTTTTCATGTGCCTTTCGGCCATCTGTATGTCTTTGGAAAAATGTCTTTTCATGTCTTCTGCATTTCCTAACTGGGTTAAATGTTTTTTGGGTGTTGAGTTTGATAAGTTCTGTATATATTTTGGACTTTTTATCAGATACGTCATTGGCAAATATTTTCTCCCATTCTGAAGGTTGCCTTTTAGTTTCATTGATTATTTCCTTGGCTGTGCAGAAGCTTTTTATCTTGATGAAATCCTAATAGTTCATTTTTTTTTCTTTTGTTTCCCTTGCCTCCATTGAGTTCTTATACAGTATATTCCATGCCCTGTGGAATATAAAGAGCAAGACAGTCCCCATATCCAGTTTGCCTGAAGTCTGATGTTCATGGGGGATAAGGAGGCTGGTTTTAAAACTATGTGAACTATTAATTCCATAAATATCCTGATAGAAATAGACAGGAGAACCTTGTCTTATTTAATAAAGACAGAGGGTGCCAGCAAAGACCTGAGGAGAAGCCAGCCTTTGGTGACCTAACAGGAGTTATCTTAGCAAAAAGAACTAGACAATTTAGGCTGAAAGAAGAGGGAGCACTGCTTCTGAAGCGAGGGACAAAAGCCCAGTACATACTGCTCAGGAAAAAAAAGGTTATGTAGCTATAGACAATGGATTCAGTCGTATTGTTGTCTTACTAATCTCTTTTTGGATAAACTCAGTAATGCTTTCTCACTTAAAAGGACAACTTTAAGCTTTTTTTTTTTTTTTAAACAAATGAAATATTGACTGATAATAAAGTCTGAGGTGGTTCTGAGTTAATTTTAGGACAAATTATACTGTTTTAGAAACTTGTAAATACTGTAATATGAACAAATATTTTGTGGTTGTGGTTTTTATTTCGAAACTAGATTTTTAAAGATTTTTTTTATTTTTATTTATTTAACAGGGAGAAATCACAAGTAGGCAGAAAGGCAGGCAGAGAGAGAGAGAGGCAGGCAGAGAGAGAGAGAGAGGAAGAAGCAGGCTCTCCGCTGAGCAGAAAGCCCGATGTGGGACTTGATCCCAGGACCCTGAGATCATGACCTGAGCCGAAGGCAGAGGCTTAACCCAATGAGCCACCAGGTGCCCTTGAAACTAGATTTTTAGTTTTATTTATTTATTTTTTTAAAGATTTGTTTGACAGAGACACAGCAAGAGAGGGAACACAAGCAGGAGGGGCAGGAGAGGGAGAAGCAGGCTTCCCGCTGAGCAGGGAGCCCAATGCAGGGCTCTATCCCAGGACCCTGGGATAATGACCTGAGCCAAAGACAGACCCTTAACAACTGAGTCCCCCAGGCGCCCCTCAAACTGGATTTTAAAATGGGTAGCTTCTGTCACAGAGAAAAAAGAAGAAGAATGATAATGGAGTGTAATAAATTCATTATGTTTTTAGTATGTAAAATTACTCACAGAGAGTAGCCAGACAACCACACTTCTACTGCATGCTTATTATGTACCAGATAGTATTGGCTTTATGTGATCCTCAGAACAAAGCTCTGAGGTTTGTTTCCCATTTTTCACATGATGAAACCACATAGCATTTAAGTAACTTCCCAAGTTTACATAAGTGCCAGAGCAGGGATCTGTATCTAGGCTTTCTGGTTCAAGAACTTCCACTGCCTAACTCCTAATCTCACACCTGGGTGTAATTAGACATTCATGGATGATTTAAAAAAAATTTTTTTTAAAGGGATAGTGTCTTCAGATTTTATAGTAGTCTGGCTACCCATACCCTGTAATGAGTTATTTTTCTATTTAATGTGCTCAGACAGATTTATAAGTTATTGTTTGACCCTACATTAAATGAGCAGTGGACCTCAAATCCATTTAATTAGCTGTGCCTTCTGCTTCATCTACCTTTTTGTTGCGTTTTTATGATGATTTAAGTTTTGCATAAATGTGCTAAATTTGCCATGGGCAAAATAAAGGCTGAGCTCAGAAAGTAGTCTGAACATGGAAGATGGCTTGGGGAAGTAAGAATAAATATATATATATATTTTTTAACTTTTATTTGGAATGTCATGCTTGCAGAGTGTATTTACTTCCAGAGAAAGGTGAGTGCATTTTTGTCTTCTACCTGGAAAGTGATTTACTTACTTTTAGTTTCCTTTCTTACCTAAGAGATGTAGATAATGGGGAAGATTTAGTATTTACTTAAATTTTATTTTTTTGTAATAACACTTTTTACAAGTCACCCTGTGACTAGCACTTTAAAGTTGTTCACAGTCAGTTTAAGTTTTGCTCCTCTCATTGCCTGTTTATCTTTCAGGGAATCCCTTTCATGGCATGACTTTGAACTTCCCGCACTATGCTGCCTTCTCAAGCTGTGCAGTCCTCTCTCAGCTTTGTTCCATACGTCTCCGTATTTTCTGGTCATTTCACTTAGTTTGATATTAGGCAATCTCAGAAGCATGTTATTTTCCCTTCTGAACCTATGTTGTCATTTGCCACTTGCATATTTTTTCTCCCTTGTTGAAGTTATCACCATCAATATGTTTCCTCTTTTCTCCTCCAGACCTTCAAGGTAAGGAATGAACCTTAATCAAAAATAAGCCTGACATTTGCCCTCAGCTCCTGGGAGGTTATCTCTAAGCCCTTGGAATGTCCTGCCCAAGAGTGTCCTTGTTTACTTGGGGGGTTAGGCCACACTGGAAAGTCTAACTGTAATTTATGGTGGGGGCTGTGGCCCATGGTATCAGCTTGGCTTCCCACCTCTGACCTCCAGAGGAGTTGGACACTAAAGATTAGCCAGTTGATCATGATTATGTGACTGGGCCCCAATAAAATCTAGACACCAAGCTTTTGGTGAGCCTTCCTACTTGGAGGTATTCTTACGCATGTGGTCATACATTGTTGCAGGGAAAAGTTGTCCTTGCCCCTGATTCCACTGGAAAGCACATGTGGAAGCTTCATGCTTTGAACTTCCCTGTACTCTGCACCATGTACCTCTTACCTTGACTGGCCTTGATAATTTGGCAGCTCCCAAACCATGGACTGCCAGACACTACTACTCTGCCTCCATCATAATCTAAATGCCCACCAGATGCTTTTGCTTCTTCCTGAGAAATTTCTTCGTTTGGATTTCATTTGTAACCGCTTTATTACTGTTCAGTTAAGCTTGCATCATTACTTACTTGGCATATTGCAGTAGTCCCTTTACATAGTCTCCTGCCTTTAGTATTTATTTGTTGGCTTATATGTAACCACTTTTATGACACTGTCTGCCGGGCAATGTTCTAATCACTTTATGAATACTCACATAATCCTCTGTACAGCCTTCTAAGATAGTTGTTACTATTTACACTTTACAGATAGGAAAACTGAGCATATGGGGGCTAATTAACTTGCCTAATGGAACAGAGCTCACATTTGGAGGAGCTTTGGGAGTTTGTCTTACCCTCTGTCCTGCTGCTTCTAAGTACCATCGTATTCCATTGTGCCACTCCTGGAGGAGAAGCCTCCTCTGCCCCCCAGTGTCTGCAGTATTATGTTTG